CCTTCATCCCGGTCGACACACTGATGAACCTACCGAGTTTATTGTTAAATTGTTCTCGTCCTGAATATGCATGGCATGTATGTCACTGGACGTTAAACGATCAATCAATGTAGTAGAGTTGAACAATCAATGTTATTCAATTCAATTCAATGTTGAACAATCAATGTAATTCAATTCAATTCAATGTTTATTGGAAAGAGCACAACAGAGGCGGGATCCAATTACACTATACAAATAAAATGACTGAACAAACAAATCTTATTTGTTTACATATATATAGTATATAAATAACAAATAACTCGTGATTTTATCTGATAGATTTATCATATATATCGTGTATGCTATCATAGTATAATTATTTTGTAATTTTTCAGTAAATATACTATATATAGAAAGCATATGTATATGTCCCAAAATTAATGAGCTCCCTTTATATTTGTTTCAGTGCTCTTATATAAATTCCTTTCCCTAAACTTCATTCCCTCAATCATAACAGTTGTTTAACCTCAGGTATAGATTAACTTAGTTGTATTTGGCAAAACTTTCAGGAATTTTTGGTCCTCAATGCTCTTCAACTCGTACTTTATTTGGCCCAGATGCGGATTTAGAGGGGGGCCAGGGGGCCCGCCCCCCCCCCCCTTTTCTGGGAAAAAAATGGTTGATTATATAGAAAATCACTGAAGCATGACCGGAGCGGGCCCCTCTTAGGCAGTCATAGGGCCCCCACTTATGAAAATGTCTGGATCCGCCACTGTCAGTCCTTTTTAACTTTTTTTGAATCGAGCGTCACTGATGAGTCTTTTGTAGTTGAAACGCGCGTCTGGTGCAAATACAAAAAAATGAAGCTTTTTCAAAATACACAGGAAAACGATTACAGTGAGATACAAAGACTTTCAATGTATATGATTCCATAATTTCAGTGGTTCCACATAGATTCCCTCGGACATACCTATGAAATATATGATTATATTTTTATCATTGTCGCTGAAACGGCGTCTTAAGTATAACTAAAGTCAGGCAGGTTATCTATATATTTACCATTGTTGAAGGTGGAACGTGATCTGTGTAGATGTTTTAGGTTATTTATGTCTCGTTCTTTTTGGTCTTTGTTAGATTTACCGTCTTCATATCCTTTTGTTCTATTTTAACAAACGTTAAATTTGAACACGTTTTAGTCGAGTTGAGACGGCGTTTTGAGTGTCGCGCGTTTGTTGTTACGTTATTGAAGATGTACCACTGTACACGAATAAGTAATTTTTCTATGAATTTGAAGGACAATACTATGAAGTATTGAACTTTTCGTTGGAAACTGGAGAGGAGTCCAACTTCTGCTTCCCCGTCCCCCACTCCCGGTCTATTTCATCGCCGTTTGTAATGAGATCTGAAAACCCTCAATTACATCAATTGAAATTTAGTTTAAGCTTAATTCATTGGATGTTGGATGTGTACAGTACTGATTGATATTTTAATCTTAGATTCATGATTTGTACACAATAGGGGCATAACAAAGTACTTTGTTGTTTTGCACTTAACTATTTTTGTTAAAGATTTTTCTGTTAACCTTTTGTTTGATTTTCTGCTGTTTTTGTTTGTTTTGTTTTTGTTCTTATTTAAATTATTTGTATGTTTATTTGGATTTTGAAGCTCGAATCTGCTATTAAATTGTATGCATGGAAACTTCAATGAAACTGCATTTTCTCTGATTGTTGCATGGTTGCGGGTTGTTAGTGTTTTTTTCGTTGCTATGGTGAACATTACTAGGGAAAAATTACAGTTAAAAATTTTAGCTATAAGAATGAGGGTGCAAGCCTCACTTTTCTGTTGTTTTTTTAATGTTGTTTTCAATATACCTAAATAACAGTAATTTATTTACAAATGCCCTTGTTTTTTTCATAATCACCGTAAAAAAATTAAAACAAATACTGTTTTTAATTCAAATCAGTAAAATTCATCTCCTTATAAGCAACAACAGACCCCCTTATCAGTGACCCATGCCCAATGAAAAACATGAAAAATATAATGCATATATAAATATATTTATATATAAAACAACATCGAAAACATAAATTTTACAGAAACAGCCCAAAGATATCTTGACTATACATATATATCAACTCAAAAGTAAGCTCACAGCAACAAAATACTTTTGTGATAGAGTTATTATATACTTTTGGGCATGAAGTAAATGAAGAGATGATTGTAAATAGAGTGTAAATACTTATAGGAAAAACGACTCAAACTCCAGATAAAAATACCATGTGTCCTTTTATAAAGAAACGAGCCGCTGTAAAAAATATAAGTTATCTCTAACCCAGCACAAAATTGATTCTTTACATTTTCATGGTTTACAAAAAGGCTTGTCATTTTACCCAATTCGATTGGTTTACACGATCGGTGTTTTGATTTTGATAGTTCTAGCTGTTTCATTATATATTCCAGATCTTTTTTTTGAGTTCGAGACCATTCAAAGCGTGTTGATGGCATACATTTAGATAGTTCCTGTTTCATTATATATTCAGATCTTTTTTTTGAGCTCGGGACAATTCAAAGCTTTATATTTGTTCAAAACTGTATATTAATAAATTCTTCATTTTAATTGTTAGGTGGCTGTCTTTTTTAGGTGCCAATGCTATTCGTATATTGATACATGCAATTTTGAAACAGTATTTCAAACAAAATCATGTAATTAATTATGAGAAACGGGTTTTCCAAATAGGAAAGGTGTTTTTCCAAAAGGAAACCACAGCCAATTTTACTCGATTTAAAGGTTAGATGCATTAATATATAGCAAATTATACTTGTGTGCATGAAATTTAACTTATTTCAAGGAAACTGAGCTTAAGAGAATACATAAAAGTATCACTAGAACTGTTACCACATGCAGAAGAATGAAAATGTTTGATTAAAAACAATATCCAGCATTCTAATAGATTTTTTTATTAGCATTATATACTTTTTAACTTATTTAGCGGCAAGAAATATGTTTTTCGTTTCCTTGGCAAAAAGACAAGCCGATAAACAAGTAAACTTTGTTTTATTTTTCACTGAAGTTGAATAATAAAAATAAATATATAAACATTAATAATGATAAATCTTTATTGTCATAAAAGCATGAACCAGTGCAATTACAAGTTTTAAAAAATCAGTTCGAAGATCGTGCCTTTCGACTTAGAAATTCGGTCTGGAATTAACAAATGACAGAGATTATCGACTTTTTACAGGACTTGACCATCTCCATGCATATAGTATACAAGTACGTGGTTTGATATCGTCAAGATTTTTGCAACAAAGCATGCTGAAATACACTCCATCAAACCTGGGACGAAATATCAACATATCTATGTTGTGGTTATATAAGGTCTATATTATATTAGGTCTATATTAGGTCCCAGACCAAACTAAAATGAAGATGACTCATTAAGAAGGGTCGTTTTTATTCGAGACACTCTTACCCATGATTTCAGTGAATCTTAAAATATCGTACTAAAAAAATATGCATACGTTTTTCTCTTTTTTTTAAATTCTTTACATATGAACTGACTGACTTATATACACGATTTTTTTCCCTTCTAAATACACAACTTTCTTCTTCGTTCTGGTGTGTAAACGATAATTAACTTCTCGTGGGTGTGATCAGTCTGTGAAATGACTTGTTAAGCTATTCAGTAGGGCGTTAGTCTTTAGGAGAAAAGATCAATAGATGTACCATTTGCATTTGAATTTCTTGTAGAAAGATTGATTCGGAGACATTTTTCGGGTGGTACGCAATCAATATGGACGGGTTTTGTGGTTTTTAAATAGCTCCGCTTCATTGTAAATTTAGTAGTAGTTTTTCCCCCAGAGATCATAAAACGTCTGGCCCGTATCCAAGTGGTGTGATATTTAAATTAGATGTTAACCGTACCGGGGGTCGACTACCGCTGTAAGAGGCCCCAAACGTGATTCCAGTGCCTGTAGTTGTTGGTGACATTTTAATTTAATACGACTTTTCTTCAAACTTGGACTAGTCCCAGTTACAACTAGAGAAATTAAATAAACGTTTTTTTTTGTTATTTCTCTCACCTGTACAAATTATGCAGAGCTTAGTCGATTTTTTGAAGAAGTTTTCAATGCTGCTTTTTAGTACACTATTGTTTTAAATTACACAAATATGGTAGTCTCAGGTCTTGAAATCTTTAGATTGTTTTGAACGGATATAACAATCACCGACAATTTACATTTTTAAAGTGATTCTATTCCCCAAGATTATCAACAAACTAAATAAGATATAAAGCTAATGCTGAAACGCTGTCATGTTCAAGTTATATCATATTATATATAAAGTGCCTAGAAAATCAACCTAACGATGTTCGAGTAGATCTGTTTCTTTACTTCCTCCCCGAGCGGGGCTGGAACCTGTACTTTTAATTTCTAACTTCTACGATATAAATATATATAAACTTCCGATGATTATCCGGATTTCATTCTCTATACATGTATATAAATATAAGTGCCTATATATATATATATAGAAACAGACAAAATCACCATGCGGTTACATTTTTCTCTTTTTGTAGTCTATAAGTATACAATATATACAGTATGATATTCAAATTTGCAAACTTTTGCTTGCTCCTTGCAGACTACTTAATTAGTTCGAAATTTCATAATTCTCTATTGTAGAAAAGCATCCAGAATTTAAAAAAAAATAAAGTTCTAATTAAGAAATATTTTTGTAACAGTTTAAAAAAATATTGGATCGGACACCAATAGATGCATGGTGTTGTATGTATTTAGTCATATATAAATCCTTGATATTTCGATATAAATATCCTCTTTTTGGATTTTTTTATTTCTATTATTAACTTATTCTGAAATTTCTTCTTTCATTTTTTATCTTATACATGTTATAAAAACAAATCATTTACCCATCAGTTGCTACATGTGTACTTCTTAATAAAACGTATTTATAATCAGCTTAAACTTGTTGAAATTCCCCCGGTTAATGACCCCCACACCCTCCTGGGGAAATACGTCATAAGTTCCTACCCACGACAGCAAATATTCACGTGGTATCCTGCCCAATCAGGGTCGGGATATGAGGCACGAGGAACTATAGTGTAGTGACGTAGATCGATCGGCCATATATGGAAAATTAACCCCCACCCAGACGTACGATACCAGGGACGGGAAGTCATTTACTTTAATATAGACATAATACATTGTTAAAAAATAATAGAATAGGGAATATAATCAAAACAAAGGTAAGTGAACCACACGGATGTAAACATTATAGACACGTGTACACAATGTGCAGACGATAAGTCGATTATGTACCGACCCCCGGGGTCATGGGAACAACACAGCTTGTTTGTGTATTAATACTATTATTTATCTACACGGTTACTCTATGTGAAATGGACTTAACGTGATGTATCAAAGTGTGATTAAAACAAGAGTTTGTTTTATTTAGTTAAAGTGTAGACGAAATATTGACAAATTCGCGGAAGTATGGAAAGTGGGTGGAAATGGGAGAGAGAAGCCATGTCGGTTTTTGTTTGAGGTACTCATGGGGGGATTTTTATGTAAAATTTATGTGGTATGGTAGATAATAGCCTTAACAAATCCATACATCAATGGAGGGGTTTTATTTGTAATTTCACACAATAACCTCAATGACAGAATAAAAATAGTATACTTACGATCTGTTTACATTTATCTCTTTATTCAATACCCCCTTTTATTATTATTAAACTCCATATATGTATGTTCTCAAATACATAATGTTTATTCATTTAAAACAGGAAAAATAAAAATAGTCTGTGCTTTCATCCTTTGTACTAGAATACTACATATGCTGTTACTATATTTCAAATAATCACATTTTTAAATGGATTATAGGAGTTATTTCCCTTTTCACAAAGCTGCATCATGAAATTGAACACATAATAAATGCATTGTGTATTGAACTAACAGACAAACACACAATGAAATTTCATTTCCCACAATGTAATTATAAACTCTGGAAATACAACATAAAAACTTACAATGTAATTAATAAAGGTTTGGTGTATTTCATATCCATGTATATTAAATTTACCTTTGTATACATGTATAAACTGGGACCCTACTATAGGAATGTTGTTTTTGTGCAGTGTTCTCGTAGAAGGTATTTACTTTATAAGCTATAACACAATGTTAACATAACTGTTCATCCTGAATATAAAGCTTTTTGCATTACTATTATAAAATTTTATCCAATTTTATCCACCAGCTACATGTAGGCAGAGATCGTCTCTGAATTGTAGAATACTAGTTTGTTTTTGGGAAACACAAATATAAAAAGAAGATGTGGTATGATTGCCAATGAGGCAACTCTTCACAATAGACCAAATGACACAGAAATTAACAACTATAGGTCGCCGTATGGCTTACAACAATGAGCAAAGCCCATACCGCTATAAAAGGCCCTGAAATGACAAATGTAAAACAATTCAAATGAAAAACTAACGGCCTAATTTATGTACAAAATAATGAACGAAAAACAAACATGTAACACAGCAACAAACCCCAATTTGTATAAACTTATGTAACTAGATGGTACAAGTAAATATTCATACTTGTCTCTTTATCACTTTAAAAATTACCTTTTGAATTGCCTTGCTACAATGTACATGTAGTTTTGGATTCATACTTTTTCCTTGTAATAATATTTCTTGTTTTGAGGATTCTTTTTTATTCATGTGGATTCCATGAGACAAATTCTAAATACAAGCCTACATTTTGTAGTTCTTTAAACATTTGAATTATGGTAAAGTTGAACCATTATGAATTCATGCTATAACTTACTATTTGTTCAGGTTAATGTGGATTCTATAATTTACAGTTTAAAACACAACCTTAAATTTCTTTTCTCATTGAAATTTTGTACACACATTTACTATGGGCATTACCAGGGCTGCCATTTAGCGTGAGACTCACGCATTTTCATGCCTATTTGGCGGCATTTTCCTTTGATCTATTGTTTTTTCTCTTTGATCTTTATGATTTTGGCCAAATCTCACGCATTTGCATTATTAAAAGTTGGCAGAACTGCATTACTCTGAATAAGATTATGTTTTGTGCACTGTTCTTACATTGTAATTTTGAAAACCTTGTTAAAAGTGTAGCAGCCAATATTTCAGTATAAGAAGGTACATCACAATTTCTGTGTCAGCAGAACAAGTACCAATACTTTGTGTGTTAAATGAGGATTGTTTGATTCAAGATATATAGACTCTATTATTGTTTAACTAGTACCTGTAATTTTTGTCTTTTAAAATATCTAAATATCTAAATTATATCATGTACATGTATATAGTGCTGTTATTTTTTCTGAAGTTCAGAAAATTAATTAACTCAATAAATTGATTTTTATGCCTGGCCTACAATATCAGGGGGCATTTTTTTTTTACTAATGTTAGTCCATCTGTTCCTTGTTTCCTCTGTCCGTTCCCATTTAAGATACATTTTATTTAGTTTACAAATGTGATGGAGGTTACATCAACTAGAATCTTAGCATACATGTGCATGTTAAGTTGGTGTGCTTTAAAATGAATGTCAAATTATATAAATAGTGATACATGTATGACCAAGATTTTTGTTTTTTTTCTTAACTTGAGAATGTGATTGTATAGACACTTTTCCTATTGGTTATTGACTTCCAAGATTTGTTTTTTGTTTGTTTTTTGCTGTCTGACATTGGTGTGCAGTTATAACACATAGTCTTTAACCTTTATTCCGTAAGGAACAAATCCTGTAATAAATTTTCTAGTGGAAAAATTATTACAGAATACATCTTCCACTTGGAACTTAAATTATGCATGTTATGAGGGAACTTATATTTCATGACAAACGTACTGGACCATTCCTGAATTATTTATATACTTTGTATGCAGATACCATGGAGTCCATATGGCAATGTATGGGCTTATATAGTACCTACAATGTGTTTCTTTACATTCATGGTTCTCACCAAGGAGTTTTGAAGGCGTGTCCAACATTGAGCTCTAAGTAGAAATTGTATTGCTACATGTATATATATAATGTGTGAAATCGGTCTTCATGACAAAATAGAACAAGGAAATGACATCAAAATTAGATTATTGTAAACTTTTGCTATATAATAATGATATGTGTGCTCAGTTGATACAACATTTTACAATCTTAATGCCTCTTTGGACTCACCAGTTTTTAAAATGTTGAGTCCAGATAGATTTCATGAGTCCAGGTCTCATGGACTCGTTTTAGTGAGAACCCTGACATTGGTTGAAAATTACAATTGGAACATGTATTTGAGCCTAAAGTATAGTAACTGGGGCCAGATGGGGGATATTGATAAACATGTACCTAAAGTAAGCTTTCAGCTCTGATAAGGACTGAAGTAACAGCACCTGTTTGAGTTATGTAACAATAAATGAATGATTAACAGGTGATGAAGGAGGTAATCAATGAGGTTTTGTTACTACAGTTTTGATCACCAACTTCTGGTAATTTTGGTGACAGTCGTTAGTGGAAAAAATAACGAGAATATATATATATATATATACAGGAATCTGATGTTCAGTAGTTGTCGTTTGTTGATGTGGTTCATAAGTGTTTCTCGTTTCTTGTTTTTTTTATAGATTAGACTGTTGGTTTTCCCGTTTGAATGGTTATACACTAGTAATTTTTGGGCCCCTTTATAGCTTACTGTTTCGGTGTGAGCCAAGGCTCCGTGTTGAAGACCGTAATGTGACCTATAATGGTTTTAATACTTTTATAAATTTTGACTTGGATGGAGAGCAGTCTGCACCAAAATCTTTTCCAACTGACTAGTCAGAAGACAGATATTTCGACATAAGAAATTCCGACATTTTCTTATGTGTCTAAACAAAGTTTTGCAAATATTTACTAGTCCCAATAAAATTTTACTAGTCTGGGGGATAGGACTAGTGGCTAACGGGGTAGACTGGAAAAGGTTAAACTTTGATCTTCTTTAAAAAAAAAAACATCCAAGAAATTTAGAAAATCATAAAAATTAATAGTGGCGAGGCCATCAGTAACAGGCTGACATGAAATAAAGTTGGTTTACAGTAAAAAAATTATAAGTAGTCAGATATGAATGCAATCCCATATATGTTACATGTATCTACCTAGCTCTGCATTTGTCCATGATTTAAGAACTTTGACATATTTTGCACAAGAGTCAAAGATTATACCATGAGAAAACACTACATGTGTGATGGCAGAACCTGTTTTGGTCATTGTTGAAGGTCCTAGAAGACCTATAATCTATAGGTGCTGTCATCCATGTCATTTGGATTTAGATGGATAATTCATACCACATCTCTTTATTTTTGTATCAAGTAAAAATGTGTTAAAACCAATTCGGAAATTGTGGTTACAGATAATCAGGGACACACTAGCTAAAACATGACAGTTTATAGATTCACATATATGTGTATGTATAGACTTCATTTCAACATATACCATTATACATGTATATAATAATATAATAATAATAATAAATTCTTTATTTAAAGAGGGTTAACACAGTTAGTTACAATTACTAATCTTCCCTGTGGCCCTCATATACAATACATGTAAAAAATAATAATAAAAGAAAAAGAGCAAACATACAACATATTAACACAATCGTATAGTCATGATAGTTCAATGTACATGTACCATAATTAGAACATATAAAACAGTTACAGATTGCATGTAGTGAATAGATATTATATACAAATCAAAATCATACATTCTAAAAAAAGAGTAATAGTTGCAATCATTTCAAGACTGAATATTAGGACTGTCTCAAGTATTGTTTTATAATTTGTTTAAAAGAAAAAGTGTTTTGCACTTTACGCATTTCATATGGTAGTCCGTTCCATAAAACTGATCCAGAATAAGCAAAAGATTTTTTAAACAGTTCAGTTTTTGGCTTAGGAACTATCAAATTACCTTGAGTGACACCCCTTAAAGCATAAGGATTATTAACAGATATAAGTTGAAACTTTTGAAGTAGGTACTGTGGTGCTTCTTTCCGCATACATTTATGTAGCAGTAAATATTTGTGGTATTTGATTCTGTTTTCAACTGTCATCCATCCAAGTTCTTTAAATAAGGGGGCTGATGGGGATAAAGGGTCTGCATCAAGAATTAATCTTGCTGCTCTTTTTTGAAGTTTTAATATTCTTACCATCCCTTCATTTTTACATTCTCCCCAAACAATACAGCAGTA